CATGAGGATGGGACTCACATGATGAGATTAGTGCCCTTATACGAAGAGGAAGAGATAGAGCTCTCTTTCCACAAGCATGTACCTATGGAGGAAAGGCCTTGTGAAGGCACAGCGAGAAGACAGTTGCCAGCAAACCAGAAAGAGGAATCTGCTGGCACCTTGATCTCAGACTTTCTAGGCTTCAGAACTGTGAAATATAAATGTTTGTTGTTTAAACCACCCAGACTACTATGGTATTTTTGTTATAGCAGCGTGCCCTAAGACATAGACCAATATGGGTTACTATCCAGCTTTCCCCACCTCTAGATTTTTTTTTAACTCGTTTCTCCTCCCCTCCCCCTTTTCTTTTTCTTTTTAAATTCTAGATCGGGGTTCAGCTTTCTTAGATTTAATGTCAGTTGTCTTTCATTTATTTATTTTTACCATTTATTTCTTTTTTTTAAATTTTTTAAATTTCAGCATATTGTGGGGGTACAAATGTTAAGGTTATGTATATTGCCCATGCCCCCCAGTTGTCTTTCATTTATTTGCTTTATAGATTCCAAAATTTTATTGCTGTAGTCTCTTCTCCCTTTCTATTTATTCCTGTGAGTTTATGCTTTTCAAATAAAGAATCTTTATTGTCATTTTAGTGAGGTAATTTGCCATCTTCACCTGGAAGTTTCTCTTATTATGATTTTAAGTTGCATTTCTCTAAAGACTGATGAGGTCAAGTACCCTTCCATATATTTTTTTGGCCACTGGGTTTCTTTTTCTGTGACTTGCTTATTCAAATTCTTAGCACATTTTCTCTTGTGTTGTTGGTCTTTTTCTTATTGGTTTATTAGAATTCCTGGAACATACCGTTTTTTAGTAGTACTCATTGTAAAGATTTTCTCCCACTCTATGGCTTGACTTTTAGGTTTGTTTGTGGTATCTTTTTCCATTTTACTACAATTAATATATTTAGTAATATATTAAATTTCCATTTAATATAGTCAAATTCATCCTTTATGATATTGTGCTTTTTGAGCCTTACCTAAGAAATTTTGTCCTACGTCAAGGGCGTAAAGCTATTCTCTAATTTTTTTCTTCTAAGAACTTTAAAAATTTGCTTTTCCATTTTAAGGCCCTTAAGTTATCTATATATAGTGTGAAGTAGGAATCTAATTTTATTTTTCCATATTGATAATCAGTGGTTCTAGCACCATTTGTCTATCCCTTTCCTAGTGATTTATGATGCCATCTCTGTTATATATCAAGTTCTATTTTATTTTTTTTTATTGTGGTAAGAACACTTAACATCAGATCTATCCTTTTAGCAAATTTTTGAGCATACAATATTATTGTTGACTATGGGAACAAATGTTATATAGCAGCTCTCAAGAGCTTACTCGTTTTGTTTGATTGAAATTTTATGCCCATTGATTACTAACTCCACATTTTCCACTCCCCCTAGCCACTGGTAACCACCATTCTACTCTTTGATTCTATGAATTCGACTATTTTAGATACCTTATACAAGTGGAATCAAGCAGTGTTTGTCTTTCTGAGGCTGGCTTATTTTACTTAGCATAATGTTCTCCAGGTTCATCCATGTTGTCACATATTGCAAAATTTCCTTTTTTTTTTTAAATGCTGAATAGTGTATGTAGCATATTTTCTTTATCTATTTACCTATCAATGGATGGTTAGGTTGTTTCCACATCTTGGTTATTGTGAATAGTGCTGCAGTGAGCATCGTAGTGCCAATATCTCTTTGAGATCCTGGTTTCATATATTTTAGATAAATATCCAGAAGTGGAATTGCCAGATCATGTGGTAGTTCTATTTTCTTTTTCTTTTTTTTTTTTTAGAGACAGGGTCTCTGTCACTCAGGCTGAAGTATGGTGACACAGTCATACCTCACTGCAGCCCTGAACTCCTGGGCTCAAGCAATTCTGTTGCCTCAGCTTCCCAAATGGCTAGGACTATACGCATATGCCACCATGCCCAGCTAATTTTCTGTAGAGATGGGGTCCTACTATGTTGCCCAGGCTGGTCTCAAACACCTAGGCTCAAGCAGTCCTCCCACCTCGGCTTCTCAAAGCACTGGGATTACAGATGTGAGCCACCACACCCACTCTATAGTTCTGTTTTTAATATACCAAGTTCTTATAAACATAGATCTATTTCTAAGCTCTCTTTTCTATTCCATTCAGCGACCTTGTACAATTCATTTAACAATTCTTTTGATAGTACCTATTGTTGTCCATACATTCTCGTAGAGATTCTGTGTAAACAATCATGTTATCAACAAATAGCAGCAATTTTATTTTTTCCTTTCCAATCCATATGCATTTTATTTCTTTCTTTGCTTTACTGCATTGGCTAGGATAGCCAGTAACATGCCGAATGAAAGTGGTGAGAGCTGATAGATGTTAGTTAGAGGGACATGCCACCTTAACTGATATCACCAGAACTATTGGCTCTAGAGCTATACTATGCCTGCTAGATCTATACCAGCAAAATGTATATACTTTGGTATTTGAGAGTAGGTATTTTTATTTTCATTCAATAGATGAAGAAACAGAAACTCAAAGAGGTAAGTAACTTGCTTAAGACGACACAGTTCATTAATAAGTGAGAGATTCTAACCCAAATCTTCTGATTTCCAGTTGAATGCCATTTCCATGATTCCATATTTCCTTCTAGCTACTTACCTGAAAAATCTATTTGTGCTAATGTATTACACTTCCCAGATAACATATTGCATTTGAAAAGAGATACTTCAGAACAAACAATGCTTTTACCTATTTAAATGACTCTAACAGTGGGCATTTTAGGCAAGTATTTTGCCTAAATGGCAAAAGACTCTGCCTATTTATAATTTTTCTTTATAGATTAATATACTTTTAGAGTTGAATGGCTTCTTGTTTTTAGCCAACCTCCTATTTAATGTGCTTATCCCTGTATTTCATTCCTGACAGATCATTTACCAACTGACAGGGATGGATTCACGTCACTGACAAGCAGTTGAATAATTCTCATGTGTATCCACAATGTGCCCACTGGTCCAGAGAGTTGTGTGTTTTCTCCTCTATATAACAGCTTTTCACATATTTGTTCTCCTTAGGCCTTCCCTTCTGAGACTCCCTATCTCTAGGATGTTTAGTTATGTGAATGGAATCATTTCCAGACTTCTTACTATCCTGGTCATTCTCCTATCAATGCTTTCTAGTGGGTCAATGTCCTTCTTGAAACTGATGCCCAGACTGTAATATATGGTCTGATTGCAAACAAAGTGGGACCCTTATATCACATGATCTAGACACAGTTACTTCTACATCTACCTAGATTTTTGTCTTTTTAGCAACTATGGCACATTGCTGACTTGTGTTAAGTTTAGGGTTAACTAAGCCCTCTCTATATTTTTTATTTGAACTGCATTTCTGAAAATATTTGTATGTTAAAAAAAAAGAAGAAAAAAAAAAACGCCGAAGGCAGGAATACATACATACATATATATATATATATATATATATATATATATATATATCTCCTCACTAAATTTAATAATTTGTGTTCCTTCTTCATAATCAGCCATCTATAAATGTGAGAAAACATGCCTTCTATGTAGAGTGAGGTCTGGACTTAGGGAATGCAAGGAAAGATTGCCTAATCATTCAGGCCAGAAGCAATGGTAGCATATTTGTTTTTTTGTTTTGTTTTATTTTTAATCTTCCATCCCCTATACCCTTTCCTGTAGCACTTTTGATCTCTCTAGGTCAGGGTGAAGTCTGTGGGGAAGCAACCAGGACAGAAATGTACTCTGTTATGGAGACAAATGGGACAGCATCTGCAGCTTGGAGGCTGCCAACAGGTAACCAGAAATACCTGCTTGGTCAGGGGTAGGTGAAGTCATTAGGACTGCTGTCCCAGGACAGCATAAAACACTGTCTTCATTAAACCTAAGGCATGAAGAAAATGTTGGAAAAACTCTTATAGACATTGGCCTAGGCAAAGAATTTATGAAGAAGAGCCCAAAGGCAATCACAGCAACAACAAAAATAAATAAATGTGACCTAATCAAATTAAAAAGCTTCTGCACAGCCAAGGAAACTATCATGAGAGCAGACATACAACCTACAGAATGGGGGAAAATATTCACATGCTACACATCCGTTAAAGGGCTGATAACTAGAATATATATAGAACTCAGGAAAATCAGTAAGAAAAAATCAAACAACCCCATCAAAAAGTGGGCAAAGGACATGAACAGAAAATTTTCAAAAGAAGGTAGACTAATGGCCAACAAACATATGAAAAAATGCTCAACATCTCTAATCATCAGGGAAATGTAAATCAAAACCACAATGAGATATTACTTAACTCCAGTGAGAATGGCCTCTATCAAAAAATCCCAAAACAATAAATGTTGGCGTGGATGCAGAGAGATAGGAACGTGCATATACTGCTGATGGGACTGCAAACTAGTACAACCTCTGTGGAAAGTAATATGGATATACCTCAAAGAGCTAAAAGTAGAACTACCATTTAATCCAGCAGTCCCATTACTGGGCATCTACCCAAAGGAAAATAAAAACATCCTATAAAAAAGACATCTGCACTTGAATGTTTATAGCAGCACAATTCACAATTACAAAGATGTGGAAACAACACCAAGTGCCCATCAATCCATGAGTGGATTAATAAAATGTGGTATATGTATAGTGGAATTCTACTCAGTCAGAAAAAACAATGGTGATCTAGCACCTTTTGTATTATCCTAGATAGAGCTGGAGCCCATTCTACTCAGTGAAGTATCACAAGAATGAAAAATAAGCACCACATGTACTCACAATCAAATTGCTGTTAACTGTTCAACACTTATGTTCACATATAGCAGTAACATTCATCGGGTGTTGGGCAGGTTGAGGGGGAGGAGAGGATGGATATATTCACACCTAATGGGTGCAGTGCACACCAGCTGGAGGATGGACATGCTTGAAGCTCTGACTTGGTGGGGACAAAGGCAATATATGTAACCTAAACATTTTTTCTTCCCATAATATGCTGAAATAAAAATAAATAACTAATTAACAAAAAACCCTACTGTCTTCAAATTTCAGATCACTAGTACATTTTGATTTTTTGCTATTGAATTAAAATTCAATTTCTTATATGAAACCAGAAATCTCATGATATTTTTAAACCTTACTTAATGATGGAAGATCCAGAGGAAATGCAGGGGAACAAGGAGTCAAGAGTGCTCTCCTCACACCAACCTTACACCCCTAGTGTAGTAGGGTGTGTCATCTGCCCTTCCATATGACTAGCACAAATCAACTTCAGAGTATGTCTTTGGACTGAAATTATAGCTACCCATATCTCCCTTGCCCTGCCTGGCTCACAAATCCATAATTACAAATTAATAAACATTACCCCCCAACACATGTTCCTCATCTTCACCAAATTCTTATAATTTTGCCTGTGCAGTATTTACAAGGATAGTGGTGTGTGTATCTAGCATTGACAGTGCAATAATAAAAATTGTAGCCATTTATATGGCACTTATGATATGCTATCCATTGTTCTAAGTACTTTATAGATGTTATCTCATTTCATCCTAACAACAGTCATTTGTGGTAGATGCTGTTGTTCTCTTTGTTTTACAGATGAGATAACTGAAGTATACAGATTAAGTGCTTGCCCAAGGAGCAGGATGGGATTGGAACCCAGGCAGTGAAGCTTCAGCATCTGCGCCTTAACAACTATCCTATGTTGCTTCTCTAAACTGTGATGGGAACTGTGGTAAATATGATTTGTGTGAGGTCTGGAGCCCCAGACCTGGGATTCTGCCTATGAGTTATTCTTTGCCAAATGATTTGTTCTTATTACAATCACCAAGAATATTACTTTCTTAGGGCAGGATCTTCCAGTAGGTTTGAACCTTTTTACAGATGAAGAAACATAGGTTCGCAGCATTAAACAGTGCTGTCAGCGTCACACAGGGAGTAAATGGCAGAATCAGGATGGGAACCCAGCTCTGGGTGATCCACACACCTCCTTTTACCCTATACTGCCTCTGTGGTAGGACCATATCTTCAGAAGGAGCTGGACACTCTTGATACCCTCTTTAACATGGGATAGAGGACATATGGGGCCCTTCTTCAGGAAAAAATCATCTCAGTTATTGCTAGAACATCTGGTTGAAAGTCTAACTGGGTGCTACAATTTGTTTTTTTAAACCTCAAAGTGAGGATCCCTGAAAGTATGAATGTTTCATCATTGACTTGGCAGAAATAAGCTGAAGGGTAAGTAAGGCTTCTGTCCTAAGATAGGTTTCTCTATCTCTTGAGATGACTGGTTGAATTAAGTTACTGCTTTTTATACACTGTTCTCTGGCCTTTGCTTTTAGATCAAGCATAAACATTTGTTTTCAGGATATGAGTCAAGGGCATAGTTCTTACAGAATCCTGTAATGATGTCTGAGATACACGTATTTCTGTGCATGCATGCATGTGGCACACATATAGTTGGCACAGATAAGGACACCTATTGCCACATTCATGGTGAAAAGTCCCTGGAAAGAAGAGCAGCTGTCAGAGGAGCAGCAAGTATGTGTGGTGGTGTAGTCTCCATTCCTGGGTGCATTGATGTGGCCAGTCATGCCCTGCTGGGGTGAGTGGAGCCTGCCCTCTCTGTCTTGAGTCCTGGCTGGGGCAGTCTTTCTAGAGATGTGGGGACATAGTTTCTGTCAGGTCTGCCCAACACATACTCCTGGTCATAGATCAGCATGGAGGGCTGGCAGGAATGCCTACCTCAGAGCTCTTAAGCAGGATTCCATGCTTTAGGCTGACCTTCTTGCCAGCAGTCCTCTAGCAATGATGCCAGGGATGCTTTCTTGGGTCAAAAGGGAAAGCATTGTTGCTGCCCTGTGGCCAGGCAAACAAGCTGCTGGCTTTGAAGTCGCAGGGGGGATTTGCTCAGGCTGGAGTTAGGAGTCTGAAGGAGAGGCCTGAAAGCCTCCCCCAAGCCTAGCTGTGTTTGTTAACTCCGCCTGCCTGCCCAGGCCTGGTTTGTTTGATGTCTAGGGAGAAGCAGGAGGAGGGAGACATGCTTTGGGCATCTTCTGAAGGATATCTTTCAACTCCTGCAGAGCTGACAGTCCCTCCTGGTCTGAACAGAAGGTAGACCAGGCCCAAGTCCATAAGGGCCAGTGACAGGCCTGCAATGGAAGGGACAGCTAGTTCCCTCCTTTCAAAGTAGTTTGCAGGGGTGTGGTTTAGGGCAAACTGTAGAGTGGGGTGCTTCTTTGGGCATTGTTCTTACCCAAGTGGCATCAAGTGAAAATGAAAGTCAAAGGCAGACATGAAGGAAAAACAAGGTGTCCAAAGGCAGCACTGGTGCCTTCAGGGGCTATGGGCTTTGCTTTGAGGCCCCCACTCACAGTCTCCTCCACCCTTTCTTACCCTGCACCAGTTGCATCCCCGGCTCCTGTACCATGCCCCACCCTTCTCTCCACCAAAGCATCATGGTTAGGCAATTCTCCATTTCCCAGGGATAGCTCTGCTGTATTCCTGAAGTTTTAGGTAATGACTGGAGACACTGCCCACCTGCCCCCTACCCACAATCAATAAAATACACTGGTGAGGAATCTGTCAGGTGGGGGAGAAACTTCTAGAGAGCAGGAGCCTAGGTAAGACAATGCTTCCACTAGTCTAGCTCTCTGGGCTTGCCCCAGGATTTCACTATGTTCCAAAGCATGTTTATTACCTTTCAGGGCTGAGCCTTGGGAATGGGATGAGAAGTAAAGCATTATTATTAAACAGTTCTGTGTTCCATACAATATTAGCCATGAACAACTCTGCCTGCCTCCCTCCCTCTCTCTCTCTCTCTCTCTCTCTCTCTCTCTCCCTGTCTTCTAAATTTCCCTATCTGCCACATCCTGACGTGCACATAGCTACAAGATTCTTACCCCCACCCCACCCCCTACACCGTTCTCTAGTTTGTCTGCCTACTCCCCCTTCCCCTGACATGTTGCAATTGAGAAAGAGCTTGTTTATGATAAGACCTTGAAATCTGTAGTTATAAATCCTAGCTAGGACAGCTACCCTATCTCTGTGCTAATGCTTGTGGTGCCAAAAGGAGGCTCACCTGGTTGTGACCCATTCCCTTGTACTTCCTGGAGTTCCCTGCTCCTCCTCTGCAAACACAGGACAATGGACAAATGGGAATTACCTGTCCCAGCAGGTGTTAGCTGGGCCTCACTTTCCTACAGGGTGATGAGGAGGTCACCCTCTAGCCCACCCACGCTGGGCATTCCTGTGACTGTGAAAGCCCACCTTCTGAACATGACCCTCCCTTTGTCTCCCCATGACTTCAGCTACAGTAGACTGAGCCCACCTATATGGCTTTAGAAGTCCCCACTTTAGTTACTGAGTCCACTGACTAGAGAGTAGGCAGCACTTGCACTGCGTGGAGGGCCCTGATGCCATCACTTTATTTTGTCCATGCCTCTGTCATGGTATTTATACCACATCGCAATTGGCATTTTCTGTGTTAGCCTTCCCTATTAAACTATAGGGCCCTTGAGGGAAAAAATGTTTCTTATTCATCATCAAATCCCTATGCCCAGCAGACTGCACTGAACATAAATATTTGTTAAATAACTAGGTGAATGGTTTCATCTCATAACCAGCAAATATTTATCGAGGTATCTTACATGTAGTGACTCTGCTAAGTAGTAGGGATACAAAATTAATTACACACCATTCCCACTCTCATGGGCTTATGCTGGAGTCAGGGAGACCCAGTGAAGCTTCACTTGCCTGGAGTTCAGAGGAGAAGCTAGGGCTCGGGACCCCAGGGATTCTGCTTTCATAAGCAGAGGCCTAAGGTTTGCCCAGAGTGAAATTACTGCAGATGCCTGCAACTCAGATACTCATTCACTGTTGATCTCAGTATATTCCAGGTGGAGCTGCTAACTCACCAACTAACTGCATGTCTAACTTTTCCCTATGTGATTTCAGTTTCCTCCTTTCAAAAATGTGAATAAAAGTAATTCCTACTGTCTCCACTTGGAAGGAATTTTTCAACCTTTATCCCGGGGAAGAAAAGAAGTGAGACTTGCCCACACAGGACTCCAGCTGGAGCTGTGCTTGTTAGCTGTGCCCCATGCTGTTCAATTTGGGTTCCTCGTGGATTTGAGCCAGAGCTGCCTCCAACCCTTAGGAGGAGGAGAGGAAGAGACAGAGGCATCTGTCTGGATTTCATTTTATTCTAATACATATTTATTCAGTGCCTCCTCTATGCCAAGATCTGTGCTGGCCACTGGGAATAGAGGAAATAACACAGGAAGTATAACGCCTTGTAGATGGGGACTTACATATCTGAGAACCTGTGAAAAAGATAGCAAATTGATCTCTTGGGGACCCAGGGTCAGCCCAGATGATGTGAGGGGCTGTTAGAATACAAATGCCATTGTCTTGTTGAGGGGAGCTTCACTGTGTGGAGTGTGGGTCTAGCAGCATGTGCAGACAGTGTGGTATAGTGTGCATGGGTGGCATTTTCTGTGTGGCTCTTTTCAGCTAGTGCTTCTAAAACTTTTTATATGAAGTACCATTAGTGGTAGAGAAGAGTGAATTCACTCCATAGTTTATTTTAAAAATGCATTTAGGCCGAGCGCGGTGGCTCACGCCTGTAATCCTAGCACTCTGGGAGGCCTAGGCAGGCAGATTGCTCGAGGTCAGGAGTTGGAAACCAGCCTGAGCAAGAGCGAGACCCCGTCTCTACTATAAATAGAAATTAATTGGCCAACTAATATATATATAAAAAAATTAGCCGGGCATGGTGGCACATGCCTGAAGTCCCAGCCACTTGGGAGGCTGAGGCAGGAGGATCGCTTGAGCCCAGGAGTTTGAGGTTGCTGTGAGCGAAGCTGACGCCACGGTACTCACCCTAGCCTGGGCAACAAAGCAAGACTCTTGTCTCAAAAAAAATGCATTTAAATTTTGTATTTTCTACCATAATCTATCAATTTGCTTTTGTATAAAAATGCAGTTAAAATTACTTCTCTCTGAATAAAACTAATGCTGTAAGAAGATGAGCCTTTTTTCCTATGGCTTCTTGTAACCCCTGGCTTACTACCCCAGACCCCAGTTTGAGAAGCTTGCCTTTTGGGATATCAGGCCCAGATCCAAGTACCACATTCAAAGATACCAACCCAAAGTAGACCTCTAACACACTCTCATGGCCTATACCCTTGATCCTGAAACACTCCTCTGGATTTGTCCTGTGCTGCCCTGGCCACATGTCCCCTCAGTCTGACACCACAGGACCATCCCTCCCCTTCTGGGATTATCCTGGTCCCTCCAGCGGGGTTTGGAGATCAGGTGGCCAATAACCCTATTTTCCAAATGTCTGGGACAGTGGCTCTAAACCTTCTTGTAGTCTCCTTCCCAGAGAATGAACAGGGCAGCAGCAGATTTGAACATGGGATCTTCAGGCGAGTTGAAAACAACCAACAAAAAGTGGCTACTTAATGAACTAATTATCTAAAGGCTAGGGATTGTTCTTGAAACTGCCTTGATAAGCTTTAGCATAATACCCCACTTTTTGTTCCTGACACAACTGCTTTATGTATACAAGGAAAGTAGGAATCAAGACTGCCTGTTCATCTGATGATGTAGAAGTCAGATGAAGTCCATAGTAGGTTTGCTATGGATTCACTATATAAATATTTTTTCATATTTTATTTATTTATTTTTGAGACAGAGTCTCACTTTGTTGCCCAGGCTAGAGTGAGTGCC